CAGCGCCCGAGCACCCGAGGGGGTCCGAGCCCCGGCAGCAGCCGGCCAGCCCCGCGCCACAAAGGGAGCGCCCCCGCCGCCCGGCACGCCGCCTCCCTCCCCAATGTCCTCGGCCATCGAAAGGAAGAGCCTGGACCCGTCTGAGTAAGTGCGGCGCCCCTGCCACCCCCCTGTGCCCACGGCCTCGCGGCAGGGTGGCGCGGGCGGCCGGCGAGGGGGTCGCAGGTGCGCGCCCGCAGCGTGGCCTTGGTTCCCTCTGTTTGCAAGGGGTTCCCTTTTCCTGGCGGGTGACTCCGGGGGCACTGAAGAGGGACTGGGTGGCGGGCGGCAGGGAAAGGGGGTCGGCCCGGCGCCTCCGCGGGCCCCTCTAGGCTACCTGGGACGTTTCCCAAAGCCACCGCGGGCCAGAAAGTTTGCACGCGAGCAGCACGGGGGGAGCTCGGAGGCGCGCAGGTGCAATCCGGAGAGCGTGCCGGGCTTGGTTCTGCTCCCTTCTCGCTCCTTCCCGGCCCCCTTTCTCTTTGTCCATTTGGTCTTGGAAAGGGGAACGTTCCAAGTGGAGGCCTCCGGGATTCCCGACGGCCCCCCCTCCCGGTCCTCAGGTGGAGTGGCTGCCAGCAGCGCGGGTGACGGGCGGGTGAGGGGGTCCGACCGTCCACCTAGGAGCTCGCGGTGGCCTCCAGAGACTTCTAGAGCAGCTAAATCCGGAGTTTATCTGGGTACACGTATCTCCACCCCCACTCCTCCACCCCCGCCCCAGCGTCCACCGATGGGGGTCTGTGAACCTCGAAAGTTAGTGCACCATTTTGTGTACAGGAGGATTCTTCTGGGGAGCGACGTCTCATAGTTTGTATCACAGTCTTAAAAAGGATTTGGGGTCTGAGAACCAGAGCTTTAATGAGCACTTGTCGCATATATTTTCTGAGCCTGGTACTGGTTTGGAATGTTCTCCTATTCCCAATTTATACCCATTCTTTAGTATTAACATGGGGACCAAGGGGTGTTTAAGATATCATCTTCCTGTCAACGCACATACCCTTTTAAGAGTCATTAGCTGTCTGGTTTTGAGAATTTTTATTCCTTTGAAGTCCCCATCTAATCCTTTGAAGGGATTTGTTACACCAGACCAAAGGAGCTGGTTAATGACTTGTCCATTTGTGCTTTTAAGAGGCATTTGTTTTGTTTTTCTTTTCCTGCTTGAAAAGAATTGGGCTTTCCTGCTTGAAGTCCCTCCCCCACCCCGTCCAATTTCAGTCTTCTATGGTGTTTATTTACCTGGGTTTTACCCTCAGTTACCAGCATAAAAGCGCAGCATGTTCTCATAAAACACAGGAAGTACCACGATCCAATGAGAATATAAACATGACTATTCAGTCTTGAAGGTTAAGACACCGGTTCTCTAAGGAGCTAGGTTTGTTATAACAAAAACCTAGTTTCCTTAAACAGATTCTTAGGAGAAAAATAACATTCCTTTTTTAAAGCATATGTCTCTGCAAACAATGGGTTTAAAGGGTGCTTTGTTCACTTTTTTATAAACTTAGAATGACAACTGAGCCCTGGGTTTTCAGAGACTTGAGCACGATCATAGTAATACAATAAGGGAGTGAATTGTATGACTTGGTGCCTGATGCCTTTTCAATCAGCAGAATTTAGTCACTAATCCTTTTATTAGAAGATAAATCTGGAGGTTTCAGTTCCCTAAAGAAAGTTGGCTCTTTTCAAAGTTTGTGCTTTTTCACTGAGCTTAGAAAATTGGAGCATGCTAACTCTATAACACAGCAAGCCCCTACTAAGGGAGGGTCACCAAGCCCTCCTTCACGTCACTATTTGCCCAGTGAAGACAGGTTCTAGTCAAAGGCAGACAAAGTAGGTGAGAAATTGCTGTAGCATATTTTTTTCTCTCTCTCTGTCTTGGAAATTGTTGAGAAATTATCCCAGAAATCCAGGCCGAAGTAATATCAGGTGTAATATTCCGGATAGGCTCTGGGGGAATATAAAATATTAATTTGAGGGTGAATCCCACTCAGTCATTTGCTTGGATTGTCCACCAAAGATAATGTGACATTATCATTAATTATAGAAAGATAGATGGAGCCAGTATCTTATCCTGTCTTTCTCTATCTCATCTCAGGCCATCACGATAGCTCTTTGGCTTTACGTTTCTACTGCAGCCCGGTGTCCTAGATGTTTCGCTGGGTACTCACTCAAAGCCAACTTGGGTCATTACAATCAGTCTCTCGAAGTTACAGATAGAGACTTACCTAAGCATAGAAATGAAACATTTAGACAGAACAACAGCCAGAATTCATGAATATAGAGATTTCCTCTACTGGGCAATTGGTGGCTCCTACTGCCTCCCTGTGAGTAACGAGAGCAGTTCAGTTTAATTCAGGGCAGTTTTGCACCAGCTAAGTGCAGATTCTTCTCTTTCACAGTTGGTTCGCAGCATCAGCATCAGTCCATCCAGCATGGTCAGGGTCCCATGAGTGTGTTTGAAAGCTCAAAGTAAGACCGTGGGCTGTGGAAAAAGAAGAAATGCTTTCTGAGTCGATGCATGTGCAAAGACCTGGGGTATTAGTTATTTTACAGAAGGGAGAATGGGAGTCCTTTATGTACACTCCATAGAAACAAAGGAAAGCAAGTCAAGCTTCAGTGAATTCTTAAAACTATTTATGGTCTTGATTTTTTTTTTCCCCCAAAGAAACTGGCTTGGGTTTGACATTTCCTTGTTCTAAAAGAAGATAATCTCATGAAGTCCTCTTATACTGTATCTACAAAGTATGGGTTTGGTTTTAGCATTCCTAAATATTCGTAGGGAATGCTTCATACTTTACCTGACAGTCCCCTAATGTTGTCAGAGTGTGTTATAGACACTGATCGAGCCTCCCTAAGTATGATGGGTGCTGAGCTTTGTGGGCTCAGGCCAATTATGACACAAGGTCACCTGCTAAGTTAGTGCCAGTGAGAAATAGGAGGTACAGATTCACACCTCCAAGGTACCCAGGAGGAAACTTCCTTTGGGAATTTCATGGCTGGAAGAATGTCCATTTTAAAAAACATAATAGATTTTTTAAAAAAATAGATCTGTGTTTGAATAAGGTTCCAGAGAGCACTTGTTCATTATTGCAAATCAACAAGCATTAAGTTTTTCTCCTGTCCCAGTTGGTACTGGACTCATTCCTGCCACTTTTGGCAAAAGTATTTATTTTAAAATTTAAAATAAAAGTATTCAGATTCCAGCGAAGCAGGTGAACAGGAGAGACTCTGCGTGGCTTTTTACTGAAAGAACACGTGTCATAGGCTCACTGTTAATGAGCTGCCTGGACTGAGGTGTCAGCGTCTGTTCAGTTGCCTTCCACTCTCTTTAAGATAATCGTTGTCCCCTCCCCATTTTCTTTCCTGAATCAACTTTATCCCCATCAGTTTTGCTGCTGTAAAAATTTTCATGGGAGGAAAGAAAGGTCTATTTGATCTCCTTTAAAAGTTTGACAATGGCCTTACTATCTGGAATTTTTCTCCAAGGATTTATTTGGTAAGAGGGATGGGATGTCAAAAAACAAAATAAAGAGAATTTCTATGATATGCTGATGCAATTTTTATTTTGGAAAGAGAAAGCAGCCTAAAATAATTTTTGGCTGCTTTCTTCTTGTTTCCTCACCTCTGCTTTTGTACGGTTGGGAAGGGCTTGAGGTTGGCTGGCACGTGGGGAATTTGCAGATTTTGGGCACTCTGGGTAGCTGGCTGCCTGGCAGCAGGCAACTCTTTTGGTCTCGACTGCCTCCTCTGCGGATAGGGGGTGTTCTGGGGTCCTGGGTTTGGGAGGAGGGAAAAGAGGGAGAACTATGAAGGAAGAAGAGGAGAGCAGGAGGCGAGAGTGGAAAAAGGAAGAGACCTGAGGTGCGCAGATGGCGCCAGGCTGGGAGTGGGGGTACAGTGCCACCTGCACTTGCCTTGGCTCTTGGTGCCCGTGTTGACTTCTTATAGCATCTAGAGTGTAAGTCTAGCTCTCTCCTGTCTTAACCCAAGGTTGCTGGGTCTCTCTTCAATCTGGCCTAGGGATATGTTGTCCTGTCCCTTCTCCTTATGTCACCAAAAGGCAATCAAGTGAGGTTCCCTGTTTGGCCCAGAGTGATTCCTGACCTCCGCTGCTAGTCCCGCCACGGTGAGATGTCCCTAATGCATGGCCTTCTCTCCAGGGAACCAGTGGATGAGGTGCTGCAGATCCCCCCGTCCCTGCTGACATGCGGTGGCTGCCAGCAGAACATCGGGGACCGCTACTTCCTGAAGGCCATCGACCAGTACTGGCACGAAGACTGCCTCAGCTGTGACCTGTGTGGGTGCCGGCTGGGCGAGGTGGGGCGGCGCCTCTACTACAAGCTGGGCCGGAAGCTGTGCCGGAGAGACTATCTCAGGTATCTTCCCTGCTGCCCCGGCTCCTCAGAAGGGAGGTCAGGCCATCCGTGGACATCTGTGCCCAAATGAGGTCAGGCTGCGGAGGCAAATGAGGCCGAGTCCCAGCCGCCCCATGCGGAGAAGCAGTTGGCATTTCTTCCTGTTTGAGAAGCATGATCTCAGGATGCATTTCTATGTGGGAAAATATGAATATTTTTAAAGGCAAGACAGTGGTAAACACAAAATTCAGAATAGTGGTTCCCTCTGGGGGCAGACAAAGGGATTGGGTTGGGGAGGAGGACAGAGGGAGTAGCATAGGAACTGGGGTGTTGTAGTTTATAAGTTTGGGCGTGGGTTCTTAGGAGCTCATTTTAATGCTTCAAAATAGATAGATAGATAGATATTATAAAGTATTCTTTTGTATGACTCCAATATTATGTAATGAGAAATTTAAAACTAGAAAGCCATGTTGTTGCCATGGAGCTCCAAGCATTGACTCTCATAGTAGGAAGATGGTATTCGATGGACATAAGGGCAAAGGCCCTGGGGTTGGTTGTAGGTTGGAGTCCCAACAATATTCTTTGCTAGCACTGTGATCTTGGGCAAGTTACTTAACCTTCTTAAGCCTCGATTTCCTCATCTGTAAAATGGGAATAATAATAGTATCGACTTCCAAGAAAATGGTGAGGATTAGATAGAATAATACATGTAAAGTACTTGGCTTGATACAGGAGTATCAGATAGACGTTAGCTGCTTTTACAACTTACCCTCATGACATCATAAAGTGTATTCCAATGTAATGAACAGCGAGATGGAAGAATGAATGGTAAGATTAAAACTCTGCAGCACCAAGTGAGACAGGAACTAAGGACATCTCTCATGCTCTGGGTCGTACTATTGGCCATGAGAATTTTACAACACTCAGTGAGTGCCTTTGCCTGGAATGTTCTAGCATTTCTAGTTGAATAGTAGCTGCCGTGGAGGTAGCTCTGTGCCCTCTACTGTCAGATCTTCTCAACTGTGTAGCTGTCAGTTTTTCGCCATCTTCCTGTGGCAGAAGGTCTGCAGAGCTTGCAGCCCTGATACAGCAGGACCATCCAACCCATGGAAGCTTGTTCAGACTCCAATGCACTTGGCTGCTAGGCCAGCTCTTTTTCCCAAACCTGCCGTGAGGGCATTTTATATTTTAAAAAAAAAAAAAAAAAAAAAGCTGCAGGCAATTCCATGGTGAAGGAAGCTTACCTGTTTACCCAAAGACAGAATAAGCTTCCCCACTAATCGCTGATAGTCTTTGCAAAGTTGGTGCTTCTGAGAAAATAAGTAGGGTTTGTCAATGATCATGATTATAATTTTGGTCCTTTTTTTTTTTTTTTAAGTTACGAGAAGATAGATCCGGGATAAATACAGACCTGGTTTTGCTTGCCCAGTTTGCCAGGTCAGTCAGCAAGCAGCCGGGTAAATGATTCCCATTGGGCTTCTGACCACATCCCTGTCAAATCATTTGAATCTTATTAAATGAAGTGCGGTAGAGTAAGGTCAAAAGAGCCTGGGCTTCTCCCTATCTCTATGGTTTTATGTAACATTCAAGAATAAAACCAGCACTGCCTGGGCTTGTTAATCTTTTCCATTTTCAAAAAGAAGAGAAAAAAATAGTCTGGGAGAACCCAATGTTAATTAACTTGTGTCTTGGTGACATAAAATAATTCTTTTCCCTGCTACATTCCTAGGCAACATGTTAATTAACTCTGTGTTAGTGCAGGCGTTTCTAGCCTTGCTTTAATATTTATATTATTATGAAAATGGGCAGCAGAAAGCTTAAGATGTTACACCTCTTGGCAAAGGAGAAAAATTGGTTTTTGTTTCAGGGCTAGTCCTTTAGCCATGGACTTTTTTACTTGCTTTGTTAACATATCCAGCCGTATCTTTTAACAAGGCAAGTTGAGGGGTGACTGTAAGGGACCTCCGATGGGGTTCAGTGCTTCTTTCCCCTAGGATCACTTCTCCCCTGGGGATTTCCAATGGCTGACTCTCCTGATACAGTCTTTTTCAGGCACTTAGCCTCAAATATTCATGAGACCCCACGCAGAACCTAAGCCCTGCTGCTGTTATGTTGTATTGTTGGGAATCTAACAACAGCTGTTAACAGTTGGTGCCCAGCCCAGATCCCCTTGGATCCATTTTTACCAGTTTCTGTGTGCTCCCCGACCCTCTACCCCAGTAGTTTTACTTTCAACAGCAAGCACCTGCATCCATTAGGTCCAGGAGTATGCCTGCTCCCCACCAGATGCCCAGCAGACCTCGATCAATGACAGACATTGCAGGAGTATCAAAGCCCTGCAACCTCTCCTGGAGCCAGGGCGACTTGGAGACATAACTCACACTCCAGAGTGAGGGCTTTAGCCTGAGAACGCAGCTTGGCTTGGCTTCTTCCCCCTCCCTCCAGCTCCCACTGCTGTCCTACAGGTGTCCCCTGAGAACACATCAGTAATAAATCATTTGCACATAAACCCTCACCTCAGGGTCTGCTTCTGGGATAGCCAGCCTAAAGCACCAATTCTTGGTGCCAGAGGTTAATACTCAAGTTAAGTGTCAAGTCATGGTTTATTTGTACTATTATTAGAATCTCAGAATACCAGAGTTGGAAGGAGCTACAGGGGCCTCCTCTTCCAGCTCTTTTGCTTTATGACTTAAGACACAGCAGCCTGGGGAGGAGATGCCATTTGCTCGGGTCACCTGGCTAGTGAGAGGTGATGCTGGGACCTGATTCTGTCTTATATATTATAAGACTAATAATACCAAATGTTAGTCTTTCGTCCTTCCCTTCATCAGCTGCCCGATGTGTATTGTAAGTTACTCCCCGACTCCCCTTTAATCAGCTCCCTTCTTCCTTAAGGATCTCTCACACTCCAGGCGGTTGGATTCATTCTGTGCCACCTGTTTCCTAAGTGGTTTATGTTGCTCAGACCCAAACTTAACTTACTGAACAGTCAGGAAACCAGAACTGTCTTTCCACTCTGTGACCTCCAGGGTGGTGGTTACCTACAGCTCCACCATCTGCTATGTTGGGATAAAATGTTTTTCCTTAGGAATGAGTTTGCTCCCAGGCAGTGCCTGGAAAACACTCAGAGATCTTCAAACAGAAAGTGGGATTCAGAAGGAAATCAGCTGGCCCTGGTTGCAAGAATGAATTCTCTCCTCACAGCCCACCCCTTCTCCATTCCATTAATTTTGCCCAAATGTTGCAAAATTTGTCAACTGCCCTTATCTCCCCTACAGCCTCTTAGAATGTATCAATTGATTCTCTGATATTCTGGAGTTAGTAAAAACTTCCAATAAGAACAAGTATTTACCTAAAATGGTCCTAAAAGTTTTATGTGGCAACCACCCACTAACATGCTGTGTTGTCAGCCACGTGTGAAAGTGACTTCCTGCAGCAAGACAGGTGCAGTGGGGAATACACCCAGGATGTGTTAGAACAAAGCAGCAATGGCTAAGCCCTTGACCGCTGGTGCTCTGAAATGCTCCGCTTGAGCCTTCCAGCAGCTAAGTGAGGCAGATGCTGTGATTATTGCTGCCATTTCACTGACACGCAGACAAACCAGAGGTCTTGCCGGGGATACTCAGGTGCTCAGGGCTGGCCCTCAACTCTGAAGCCGGCTTTTCTGGTTCCAGTACTTGTGTAATTCCACTATTGCAGGCTGGTTCTTAAACAGTAGCCAGCATCAGAGTTACCTTGAAGTGCTCGTTAATACACAGACTGCTGTACCTTCCCCCAGAGTCTCAATCGGTAGCGGGGAGGGAGGCCAAGAATTTGTACTTCTGACAAGTTCCCAGGCCACGCTGATGCTGCTGGTCCCAGGACCAACACTTAGAGACCCACTGCACTGAATGCAACCATGCTGCATCTTCCACCCTGATGCTGGATATTGTGACTGATAACTGAGGCTTAGGAGAGTCCCAAAGAGAAGCTTCGCCAGAGATTCATGCCAGTGGGATGGCGAGGACCATGGATTAAGATCTTCCACTTGCTGTGAGATGCTGTTTGTCCTCCAGATCTCTGAGGCACAAGTCACTGCACCACAGGTTTCTGCAGAGCTCCCTGTCCCCTGGCAGCTGGGGCCCAGCACCTAGGCACGTGGGGATGGGCTTTGCAGCTTATAGAGGCATTCAAGCCCGGCCCTCCTCGTGGGTGGAATTAGTGGCTGTTGACATGACAGAGTTTGGGAGCCTCAGAAAGATGCCCAATTTATTGCATCCCTGGTCCGTTCCCTCTCAAAGGGCCCCCCAGGGCTTTCCTACAGCTCCTCTTCTAAAGTGACAGTTCCCCTGGAAGGGACAGAATACATGCCTAACCCCTTATCACAAATCACTTCAGCTGGGAGTCTTCTGTACAGAGGAGAAGCCTGGGGCAGCCTAGAGGCATGGTGAGTGGCTGCTGAATTAAGGGCGAGAACTCAGAAAAGGGAGGGTGCATGCCAAATACAGATGCCACAGTTTCATCCCAGAGTCCCCTCTGCCTTCTAGGAAAGACTGTGCTGGTCAGCCATCATCTGGGTCAAGTCTGCCAGCTTCCTGGCGTCCTGAAGTTCAGCCTCCTTTATAGCAGCCACCCCAAGGCTTCTCTTCCAGTATTATCTCTGCCACTATCTTCTTAGCTTTTCTTTATTTTTGCCCCAGGCTTTTTGGCCAAGATGGTCTCTGCGCATCCTGTGACAAGCGGATCCGTGCCTATGAGATGACGATGAGGGTGAAAGACAAAGTGTATCACCTGGAATGTTTTAAATGTGCCGCCTGTCAGAAGCACTTCTGTGTAGGCGACAGATACCTCCTCATCAACTCCGACATAGTGTGCGAACAGGACATCTACGAGTGGACTAAGATCAATGGAATGATATAGGCCAGAGTCCCTGGGCACTGAAGATACTGTCCCCATGGGGTCTTCACTCTTAAGCACTTTGGGGATTTGTGGGTGGGGTGAGGCATTTCTTAGGTGATGGTAGATCTTATTGGGCACCAAGACATAGCATCCAAGTGACATAATGCCAGGGCCAAGACTTCAGTGTGACGAAAGAGCCAGCCCTTAGGGAGAACTTTTGGCCACAGCCTATCCGTAGTAACTGACATGATTAGCAGAAGAAAGGAACATTTGGGGGCAAACAGGCACTGTGCTGTCGTGATGGAATTCCCCATCTACAGATAGGGAGTTGTCATGTAAAGACTTGTTATGACTTTGACACTTGCAAACAAGATCTGTGCAATCGATTTCTTTTCTTCCTTCCTTCTGTAACAGTCCTGTTCCAATCACTTTCCTCCATATAAAGGGAAGGACAGAGAGGAGAGTGGCCATCTTTTTTTTCTTGGCCACCTTCCCAAGGCCTTAAGCTTTGGACCCAAGGGAAACAGCATAGAGACACATATCAGTTGACAATGGAAATGGCAACCTTTAACCCAACAATTATTTAAAGCAATGCGGATGAATCACAGTTTTTAGACACCCTTTTGAAGTGAGAAGTTCCACAGATTGTTTCTATACAAATGTAAATCTAAGAAAAAAAAAGTTGTTCCACTATTTTATTATCTTAGAAAATATCAAAGTATTTGTTGTGTGTAGTTAAAAAAAAAAAGAAACCCCAACTCTGCAGACTTAATAAAAATGACAAACTAAAATGCAGCGTTGTTTATTTGATAATGACTCACAATTTGGGATGACAGGAAAATGGTCTGTTTTTTTCTATTGCAAAGAAATAAAGAGTTTACTTTTAGGTAAAATAAAAACCTTTACTTATTGCAAAGATTTCTATGAGGCAGGCACATTTCTGTATTACTGGCAATTATATAACAGGTCATCCTGTAGCTCAGAGGGGTGTGGAATAATTAGATTGTTATTGTAAAATGTGCATTTCACTTCAGCATTGTGTAGAATGAGTGGAAGGCAAGATCATTGCCTTTGGGAAACTTGTAACCTAGAAAGGACACAAATACATAAAACAGATTCCCTTTGGGAGAGAAGGTAATTACCTAGTTTGAAATGTGGCAAAGATGCTGAGCTTGACACTTCGATTTTCCAAGACGTGTGTCTCAGGGTATTTTATGACAAGTGGTTAAGAGGACTTTACTTGGAGGATTTAAAGCAAGCACCTTGCTTTGCCTTCACCCCATCTGGGCTGCCGCCACGAACTGACTCACAGCGCCACCTGCTGGTCATCACCTCCCAGTTTGCTCGCCCAAGAATGTCCCAATGAAGGACAAACCTAGATGAAGGATATACTTTTCAATTATTTCATAAAAATATTGGCAAACATCAAGAAGTCTAAATGTGTTTAAGTGCCAAGATATCAGAAACATTCAGCTAAAGCTACAGTTAATTAACTGTGAGGTTCCTTTAAAATCCCCATGATTAAGGTTTGTTTTTTTTCTTCTAGAGGAGACATAATGAAGTGATGTCTCTTTTGGTCATCTAAAAGGGGTTGGGAAGTTTGACTGCTTAAAGTGGCCCCTTTGAAACAAATTCAAATATACTGCATTCCAGCTCAGGTGGCGGTAAGGTGCTGCAAGAGGGCATGTTTGTTCTAACTCAGTGGTTCTCAAATTGTGGCCCCTGAACTAGCAGTATCAGCATCACCTTATTAAAAACAGAATCATGGGCCCTACCTCAGACACAGCAGAAACTTGGGAGATGGGGTTCAGCAATCTGTCTTAATAAACCATAAAGATGCCTCTGACTCATGCTTACGTTTGAGGATGATTATTCCAAAACAAAAAAAAAGATCAAGCATTCTAGGTTGTTAATAGTTAATATTTGACACAAAGGTTAATCACTGAGTAACTGTTCCACATGTAGACAAACACTGTCTACCTGCGGGCCCTCCAACAAAAACTTTTACGTGTCTGTCGCTCAGCTAACAGTTGTCTTGTGCATTATCTACCAGATCAATCACAATTCGATCCACTATTTTTAACCATATTGAGATATTTTTTAATCATATTGATATTAATAATGAGAATAACAATGATAATAGATTTTAGCTATGCAATTATCTTATAGTAGTATTAAGTAAAAGTGATCCTTGCTTTGGAAGTGTAAACTTTATTTGTAATCCCCATTGTATTACAACCCACACAAAATTCAAGAAATCAGCCAATACCTTCACTGTCCTCAACAAAGTAATAATTGACCTTTCCCATTTGTCAATGGCACCATCTTGCAGAATCACAGATGCACAGACAGAGTCTTTGTAGTAAGTCACCCCAGGGATCCAAGTGTCTAACCTGCAACTGACTCAAGGGGAAGGACATGTAAAGAGACTTTGAGAGGGGCCAGCTCCCAGAGTCTACCCTGGTGGTCCTTGTCTGAATATGTTACCATGTGCCCTAGACCTGGTGTCAGGAGAACAGGGCACCTGCTCCTTTCCCTGGTCCATGCCTTGATTCAGCAGTTTGCTGGAACGTTTGCTTCCTTTCACCTCATTAATATCGTCTGCCCTGAACCAGCTTCCTTTTATTGCTGCCTCTCATAAAACTTCTCAGGAAAATGTGGAATCCTTCAAAACTAAAATAGAACAGTGGTTAGGAGATTTATCATCTGAAGACTTAATTTAAATTGCAATGACATGACTATTTGCTTAGTAAACATTTACCTAGCACTCACCATGTGCCAGGCACTCTTTAGGCACTTTACAGTGTCAGCTCCTTGAATGCACATGTCAGCCCTCTTTGGCAGTTCCTACTACCAGGGAAGCTGGAGCACAGACAAGTTAAGTAACTTGCCTGAGGTCCCACAGCTAATAAGCAACAGAAGCAGGCTTCAACCAAGGTTCCTAACTCTGTGCCTGCCACAAAACAGAGAAAACTAATCCTTTCTCCTCAGATTATTTGAGGACATTTGAGTTCGGTCTAGCCAGAAATGTAAACAAAGCACAATAATACAAGATTAGCACCATAATAAAGATACCTAAAGAGTGCTATGAAACACAGATAAGGGAACAATTAAATTGGCCCAGGGGTAGTTGTCTGGAATAAAAAGGAAGTGACATTTGAGGGCCAACCCATGGCATGGTGCTGACAACACCAAGTCAAGGGTTAAGATCCCCTTACCAGTCATCTTTTTTTTTTTTAAAAAAGAGGAAATGACACTTGAAATGTCCCTGACCTGGAGGGGGGTGGTGTGGGCAAGAGCAAAGACCCAGAGACCTTGGCCTTGCAGGGCCGGTACTCAGGTGAGCCCAGAGTTTGTGTGGTGGTCGTAGTATAGGTAGGTGTTGGCTGGAGAGGGGCTGGGGCTGGCTGGTGAAGGGTTTAAACTCTGATTCTGTCACTTTCTGGTGAGGTGACCTTTGATTCTCAGTTCCCTCATGGGATGTTACTACTGTGCTGGGCACTAAATCCGGGTCCAGTGAACATTGCTGACCTCTGACTTGACCTTGGGCTCTCATGTTAAGCTACTCCTCTTCTGGGCAATCTCCTCAGTCTCTCTGGTTTGCAGCCACTCATGAACTTTAGTGCTTAGGAGTCTCCTAATTAGTAGGAGAGGCTACTACTATGCTGACTCCTGGGCTGGAAATTTACAGAATCAGGATCTCTTGGATGAGACCCAGGAACCCACATGTTCATCAAGTAACCCACCTTTCTTTGTGGTTTGTGTAGGTTATTCCCTGACTTCAGTAAGAAACTGCTGCTAAACCCTGAGTTCCAAAAAGGCAGGGAAACTGTCTCTCTCTATTCTTGTGTGTCTAGACCTTAACACCTACCTGATACATAGTAGGCACTTGTATGTTACTGAAATGATTTTTAATCTCCTTTCAGCTTCCACAGCATTTATTGCCTAATACATTTTAATTTTTATTTTTTATTATTTTTTTTAATTTTAAACTTTGTTCTCTGCTTTAAAACTTCATTTGGGAAAATGTCGTTATCTCAGACTAGCCTGTAAGTTCTTTACCATCACTCGCAGCATCCAGGCCAATGTTACATGTATGGAAAAGAAGGAATAAACATTTATGGGATGAATAGTAAGAGGGAGGGCTGGTGAGTAAATAAGTAGGGGAGATGAGGTGTTCCACATTTTCTAGACTAAATGGCAAATCAAAATCAGAATAGGGAGCAAAACCCAGGAGTCAACGGAGCAGGAGGCAAGGAAGATATAAGATAGATCTGGAACATTTTGTGATGCCAGCAAGTAAGGAAGTGCTCAAAAAATAAAAAAATAAAAAGACATGCATTTATCACAAGGACAAAGAAGCCAGCGTAAAGGGGTCCTCAATAGCCAAATCTGGGACAATTTGACTTTCAAAATAATTAAGGAAAGTAATGAATTAAGGATGCAATGAGTTATAAAGAAAAAAAACAATTCATGAGTTCATACCCATTATAAATAAATAGAGAAGGGAGGGCCCATGCTTCCAGCAGAATTTTGAGTGTCAATTTGTAAATGTGCAGAGAGTGAGAGTTGGAAAATCATCATTTTGCAACTGTCATAGTTAAGATAGAATCAAGCAAGAATCATCAATAGAAGCTAAATCTCACCAAAGAAATGAAGAGCAGGATATGGATATCTGGATGATCTTATAGAACCTTCCCATATGTTACTTATTAGTTATAAGGGAAAAAACAATAATTATTACAGAATGGACACATTGGAGAACACCTTGACCATGTGATCTATGGGGGTGGATGGACATTGTGTGCCACAGGTGATACCCTGAAAAGGACACAACATCACTCTTTTTAGTCGTCCAGCTGAAAATGTATAACCTGAATCTAATTATGAGACAAGTTATCATAAAACCCCAAATGGTGAACATTCTATTAAAAAAGGGGGTGGATGGACTCTCTTCTTTGAAAATGTTACTGTCATGAGAGATAAAGAAAGGCTGTGGGAATGTTCCAGATTAAAGAAAGCTATGGTGACTGGAAAACTAAATCCAGCACCTGGCCCTATACTGGATCTAGTACTGGAGGGAAAAAAATACCACAAAGAACATCATTGGGTCAATTGATAAAGTCAGAATATGAATGAGTAGATGAGTTAAAAGTATTGCATAAATGTTACATTTATTGAAATTGATAACTGTGCTGTGGTTATGTAAGAGAATGTCCCTATTCTCCTTTTATGCATTGAAATATTTAGGATTAAAGGGCCATGATGTATGTAACTTATTCTCAAATGGTTAAGAAAAAGATTGTGTGTGTGTGTGTGTGTGTGTGTGTGTGTGTGTGTGTGTCTAGAAAGAGAGAGAGAAGAAATGATAAAGTAAATGGGGTAAAAATGTTGACAATAGGTGATTCTAAGCAAAGGATATCCAGGTATACTATTTTTATTCTTGTGACTTTTCTATACCCTTTGAAACTATTCCCAAAAGGCCGTGTTGGGTTTTGGTTTTTGTTTTTTAATTTAAACTCAGGAATCTTGGCTTTTTCTTGTTTGGGGCTTTTGGTTCAATTAGGAGAAGAACAAAGGAGATAAAAAGAGGAAAAATATAGTCTAGAATTCAGAAATATACTACTGCTCATTTGTCACAATTCTAATGTACTTTTGACCTTAGAAATAAAGAATGTGTCACAAGCATGTAATCTCCCTTGACACACACACAATGTGAATGATGTGTTTAGGAGGATTCACTTAGTGCCAATTTCTGTAGCAGGCTATTTAGCAACCTTATACAACGAGC